AACCAACCAAGAAAGACTAAAGCACTAGGTCTTGTGTGCTTCTTAATAGCGACAGGGCTGCTGGAGAAGCCAGCCTGGCTCTTGACTTTAGTGCTAAAAGTGGCCTAATTCAATGACCTTTCTGGATCTTGGGAGCCTCATCTCCTACTATTCTAAATCCTGATCAGGCATCACAAATAGATGCTAGGATTTTAGGCTGAAAACAGTTGGCTTTGTTCTAGAAATGGCTCCCAGAAATCTATTTCTGTCCCTAGAGAAAATAATTAACCACATGTCCTACTGTGAGTGAATTGTATGTACTGCCTTTAAATATGAAACAGAAAATTCTTAGCTTTTCCTGTAGATGTAAATTAAGGGAAATCAAAAAGCAATATTTGCTACTCTAGGCTTTATGATAGCTTTTAAGTTACTTGCTGAAGAAAAGTTTGTTTTAGATTTTATACTCAGTTCTAAATATGGGCAGACCTACTGAAAAACACAGTGGTCTGCTATACATTTCCCCCTCCCCTCCTCAAAAAATATTGCCTTCACCCCCAGTCTAATATGGAGTAGATTTTCCATGATCCATGTCTTCAAATATTTGTTTGATTCAGGGAGACCTTTGTCTATTATCTGTCATTCTGGAGACATCTGAACAAGGTTGGACTCCTTCTGAGAAAAGTCAAGCTTTTCAACTTGTCACACATGTTCTTTGTACAGGGAGGAGTTGATGACAGTGCTAAAATGAATGGTAAATATACTATCAATCTTAATGATAGAATTACGCAAGTATGATGTCCATTTGTAGTTATGTGATTACAGACACTGGTGTCTGAAGAAGAAAACTGAGATACATTTTCCCTGAATGTAAGCCTGCTTTTTTTCTTTTTTTAAAAAAAGAAAATCCCTCAGATTTATCCTTCTGAGTTTTCTCCCAGTCCTGCTGCCCGTTTCCCTCAGAGACAATATCCCACAGTCTGTAATCACCAATCAAGTCTTAAAGTGCCAGAGTATCAGTAAGGATTTAGTTTGTAGGAGGTTGGAGACAAGTAAATATAGAATCAGAAGAACTTGTCTGGAACTGAGACCTTATTTAGGATAACGAAACCACCTAATGTATGTTATTAGCATTTGGGTTTCAAGGCAGAAGGCTTTTTAAGTGCTTGCTTTCAGGTTCTAACCCTCATCATTGTGATGGCACGTTATTAGGATCTGGCTTCTTTCCTGCTTGTAATTGTTTACCCCGAAATATATGATGGAATCTCCTAGAGACATTTTAAGAACGCTCACTTAACGGAACTTTCTTTTCCTTGCCTCTGGAACTTAGCAACCCTGGGATTTTAGGGTAGGGTTCATGAGTGCCAAACCCAACATAAACCTACCAGAGCTTCCTCTCTCCTCAGTGAATTAAAGAGGGGGGTTTTAAGATGATCCGCTTTGTGTATTCTCTCCCTTCCTGAAGTTTTAAAATAGCGCTCTCTGCTCTATACTCTTCTGACAGACTAAGGTTTATTTCCTCTCAAGGAAACATTTGTTTTTCTTTATTTATCAAGAGAAACTGATGCTTAGCCCAAATATTCACATTCATAGTTCAGGAGCTCAGGTCCGTGACAGACTTGCACACAAGTCAGGCCAAGAAAGCCTTTGTATTTCAAGGCAGCTGCAAGAGACCAACCATCCTTATCGCCTCAACATTTCTCCTGGCATCAGACTTTCAGTAGGAAATTCTCTGTCCTCTTTCTTGGTTTTTCCACAACAAACTTACAGAAAACTGTCACCTCTAGGGAAACAATGAATGTTCCAGGGACATGAAAACCCCTACGCTGGGCCAGAAGGCCTCACAGCTGAGCTTTCCAAAAATGAAGTTTATAGTCACTTGCTCTACTGCAGTAACTTGCTTCACGTCGCTGTTTGTGCAGCGAGAAGGCGAGGCCTGCCCCGCTCAGTGCTTTCCCACAGCACACCCACCGCCAGGACGCCATCGTCCTCCCACAGCCTGTCCTGTTCTCGCCCACCTGGCAGCCACCGTGGAGACCAAGGCCCCCGCTGCTGCTCTTTTCCTCGATCCCACTCTCTCCTTGCCTGCCTCAAGTTCCCTTCAAGTGCCTCTGCTTTTGTTTGCAGTCACATGGAGGGGTTGTTGGGCTGGGTAAGTCCTGGCCAGGGTCGGCTCTTCCCATTTCTCTTCAGCTTTCTTCACCGCACCTTGACAGGAGCCACCACCAACAGCCATGCTGCTTATCTTGGGTCACCTCACCTTCTTCCCTCCACTCCAGAAAGACACTCACCACTACCCACGTAACCACTAGCCGGACACATCTCCAGGTACTTTTCAAAGCCCCTGGCCTCCGTTCCCTCTCCCCGACCCCTCCCCCCAGCCCCAGCCCCACCCCATGATGGGTGGTTGGAACCGTTCACCACTCTGGAGTGGAGGCGACTAGGCCTCTTGTTCTGCCTGCTGGAGGATCCCCACTTGCTGGCAGTGGAGACAGTATCTCTTCCCACAGTTACTCTGTCACTCTCCTCGGGGTTCACAGCATTTCTTTTTTTTTTTATTATTGTCCCTGTCAGTTACAGCCCAAGGTTACTGCCAGCTCTCTGTCAGGACTTTGATTTTTGTCAGCTCTGGCCAGGTCCTTTTAGTTATGTGCTATCTTTTCAGCTTTGTTCAGTCTGAGCTCTACTTGTCTACTAATTAGCTCTTTGGAGATTTCCTTTTTAAAACTCGCTATCACAGAGGACAGGAACCGTTCAAAAGTTTTGTGCTTCATAGAAATTCCATATTCATCCATATCTTGTACAGTCATATTTTTAAAATTAAAAGTGGCAGGTCAGGCCAATTTAAGGTACAGAAGTAACACTGCCTGTAAAGGAAGACCTTCAGGTTCTTGATCAGGTATGTAGATGAGTGACAGGGAAAGGAGAGGGCTTGCATCAAAAACACTGAGGGGGACAAATTAAAAAGAAACGATCGCTCCGTATAACATATTCACATTTTCTTTATCTTCTGGTGTGCAAATATTGTGCTAGCTGAATATAAAAGTAGCACAACTTTAGGGTACAAAAAAAAACACACTGTAATAACATCAAGAGTGGTCTCACATCAAGGAGGGCCCTGAGGATGTCTTTGTTGTCAACTTCAGAAGAAAAGAGAGGAACAGAAGAGGAAACTGGCAGAAGGAATAGATGCCAAAGAGAACTCAAAGGATTAGGTCCGGGTGAGGTGATCGGTATTCGAAAACAGTCTGCCTCTTGCTCTGATCTGAGGGAATAGACTGGCAGCCAAGCCAGAGGGCAGAGCCGCACAAACACACCTCAGCACAGTGCTGGAGGGTGCCTCCGTGCCTCCGCAACGGTGCTGGCAATTAGAAATCAAGTTCTGTGAGCGCGATAGGAAAAATACTGTATTTATAGACAAAAACCCGCTTTTTGCATAATCGCAACCTGCTTGTCCCTCCATGCAAACACACTTGTTCTTTTCTTGTCTTTCTTCCCTGTCTTTTCTGCCAGCCCCCACCCCTTTCTCTGCGGTTAACTACATTATTCTTCTGTTAACTGGGTGCCGTTGTAAGTTGCACTTACATTGCATTTACACACTGTTAATGCCTGCAAGATGAAAGTCAAAACCTTTGAATATATTAATGTTGTAACACAGATGTCTTTTTTTTTTTTTTTTTTTTTTTTTTTTTTTTTTTTAGCAAGTTGATGTGACTAATAATGATGCAGATTGTGCTGGATGGATGTGCAGATGAGACAGGGGAATACAGATTAAATAAAAATCTCTTCAAAGCTTACGTTTGCTTCATAATTTAACTTCTGGGCTCGTTCAGTGGTAAGGTGAGACCAGGCATCATCCTAACATTGTTCATCATAACATTGGCACTGCCATAATGCCAAACCACACCTCTGTACTTTGTTAGAGCTAGAGGGAAAGAATCAAGGAGAAAAATAAAGGTGGCCAGTGGCTTCTTACAGCGGGGACAGACCCAACTGTTCATAATGGGGAAGCCAGGAGAAATTGGGGACAGAGTTTCTGGCCTTAAGAAGTAATATCTGTCGCGAACTTGGCTTTTTTTTAGCTGCATTCAAAGCTTCCTCTTCCAGAAGCCAGATGTGATGTGTGCCAGGGGTGTTCACACTGCACTCAGGAATTACTCTCTCATTGAATGCTTAGGAACAATGAGTGCACCCAGGGCACAAGGCCTGGAGCAGACACTGTCCATTTCTCTTTGACGTTTCCATTCATTCAAGAGGCATTTATTAGGGATTCTGCTGGGTTCCCAGAATATGAGGGCGTGGTTGAGGCACAACCCCTTCCCAGAAGGTAGGAGCCCACTGAAGTCCTTGTGATCAAAGCAAGTATCATATCATCTCTAAAAGGAATGAAGTGCTGATGATCTCCTAGGAGGAAATAGCACTAGGCTCAGTGTGACAGGACTTAATCTGGGGTTTGTACTTTAAAGTGTGAGGCGATGCTAATCAGCTGGGCACAGGTGATAAAGACCTGTGTATGGAGGTCTGGGTTTGTGGGTGATCAAGAAGGCACTTCAGAGAATGGTGGGGGATTGTCAGTGTGGCCACAGCTGAGGCTGCAGATGTATGTGTGTGTGTGTGTGGGGGGGAGGCGGATGTGGGACCAAATGAAAGAAGGAAGTTTGAAGCAGATTCTACAAGACTGCACATCCTAAAAGAAGGCATTTAGAATTTAGCCAACAGGCAGCAAGAAACCAGATGGAAGCTTCCAGCAATGAGAAGACTCTTCTCATGACCTGATGTCCCCTTTGTGGTAACTCCCGAGAGTTGTGGGGAAGGGACATTTGCTCTTTAGGAAGGATGGAGCAGGGAGACAATTTAGGACATGTATGATTCTCCACACAGGACGACAACAGCCAGCTGCAGGAAAGAGGCTGGATCCAAGGAAGCACGTAGAGGGACTCAGCAGAGCAGAACTGAGCTTCACCTGACAATTTCTGCCAGTGGCCATCTCTGTGCCCCCCATTCCCTTTCCAGTGTTGTCTTACCTGACATGGCAGTTCCAAGGCAACTTGCTGAGAAGCCCAGGTTTTTAACTCAGGCAGAGGAACTCAGTTCCTAGTAAGAGACATGGAAGACATGTTGTTCTTCTTCCCTCTTGCACGGTGAGCTTTGCCCTCACCACTGTGTCACTCTCAGCACACCTAAAAGATCATTGAAAAGATCCCTGAATACACGAACCAAAATGGGTGGCAAGTGGCCATCAACACCTGAAACAAGTTACTACAATATAAATAAATAATAAACAAAAATACATGACAAAACTGGTGTGCATACCTTGTCCCCTTGTTAAAAAACATTAGATTTGTAAAAATAGTTGCTGGAGCCCAAAGATCACTTTTATCCTTTCATGTTGAGAGTCAGGAAGTAAGCCATTTATTTTAAGCAAGATAAAAGCTCTGTGTAAACACGTGCCCATCTGTCTGTAGAGCTGAGGTGTATGTGGGAAGTGGCTTCCCAGTGACCAAGCAGACTGTCCATGGAGTTATAAGGCGGGAGAGACAGGCCATGCCTTGAGCCTCAGGGAAGCAGGGAGCTCCCTACCCTGCAAGAGTAGTGGTCCACTGCCCTTTGCTGAGGTCACTTCAGAAGCAATGAACAACAAGGCTGACAGGGATGGTTGAGCAGGCTGAGCCCTGCACAGGCCATCTGGCTGACAGTCATGTAAACTTGAGGGTTTTTTTTTTTTTTTTAGTAATAACATTTAAATGTCTAGGTGGGAGAACAGGGTCCTGGATTTAACAGGACTGGAATGACTGGAAAAACATATTTTTAGGGACAGTTTTAGGGACAGTGCCCCAAACATATCCTCTTTAAACTCCCTTCAGTTTATTTTCTCTCGGTAGTTTTCAAGTTCTGTATTAGTAATATTGCTTGTCCTTCTCTCCACACTTAATTTGGCTGGCCCAGTTTTAAAGGGGCCTGAAAGAGAACTGGCCCATGCAATATCTTTAAATACAACTGACACGGCCATCTGTCAGGCACGCAGGGCCTCCGGGAGAGACCATCCTCCATGCTCAACTGGCCAACTGGTCAACTGCAGGACCTTAATAATATTATCATCAGAGCAGGAGTATCATCTACTAGACGAAATATCAGACATTACTTATGGATGAAATGAGGTCAGAAGAGGTCAGGAAAGACAAGAGATGAGCTGGCCATGACAGCTGGCCATGCCGCCCTGAAGACTCACCAGCCCAGCATCACAGCCGGGACTATCTCTTCTCAGGCAAGGGGTTCTGCCTTCCTGAATGGTGTCTCAGCCCCAGGGCCAGTCTCCTGGGCCAGCAACTCTTCTGCAGGAGGAAGTGAGCAAAGCAAGCAAGCTCTGGTTTTGAAAGAAGGAAAGCACTAGCCTTGTGTGCCCTTCTGGCGAGCATCGCTGCAGGGCTGGGAGCGCCACTGAGCAGCTCCAAGCGCAGGGGTCAGTCTAGCTGGAAGCGTCTAGCTGGCGTCTAGCTCGGCAGGGCGTGGGTGGAGGGATGGCAGCCTGACTGCAAAGCACAGACCCCTGGCGAGAGCGGCAGGGATGGTTTTCTCCAAGCATTTCTCGGGGTAGAAAAAAATCATTGTACACCTAGTCCTCTGGTTGCCCAGTCAAACAAAAGGCTGTACTCCTAGGAGTGGGAGCTTGCCTTCCCCTGCCTAATTTCCTGGAGTAGAAACATGAAGTGAAAGCTTCATTTGGTAATGATCACAGGATTTACTCCAGCTAACCACTCCGGCTGAACAAACAAGAAACTACAAATGCAACCTGAAAACAATGTCACTTCAACCTTTTATCAGTTGCAACCATTCACCCTTACCAAGAAATATTAATAAAGGGAATAGGTTTAGATACTTAACTTTACCATTCATAAAATGTCTATATACATATTTTTGTATAAGAAAATAGCATATTGAATAGCATATTGAATTAAATGTTGCAAAGTTCACTTTGAACTTTATTCTGAATGGTGTCCCAGTTATGGCCATGACTTAGAATGAAATGGAAATAAAATCCACATATTCTTTGTGAAAAATATTGACTTGAAGGAACTAAACAGAGTTCCTACTCCCAAGTGTAATGCAGCAGTTCAACCTGGAGTCAAGGCTATAAAAACATGTCTAGAGCTTTTACTGGTAACACAATGAGATCGAGAATTTTCCCTTCTAGAAAAGCAAAAGCTGCATTTCTAAATTGCAAACATTGCCATCATCTTCTCAATGCCAAACACAGCTTCCTTCTGCGGCACTTTAATCCTTTGCTTTTCACAAATGAAAGTTTTATTTACTAAAAAAAAAAGAATAGAAGAATATGTAGGCCGGGAGTGATGGCCGGAGGACAGCAGAGGTTTATATGGTTGGGGAATTCTTGTCTATGTCATCCTTCTTCCCTTCTCTGAGTATAGCAAAATAATTGGCCAACATAATTAAATATGAATCTGCATAACTTCAGACTCTCTGAACGTGTGATCGGTCTTTTGATAGGCTTAACAGATGCATCACCCAGTCCCATATTCCAAAAGCAAAGCGGCAAAGCCTATACTTTCTTTGATGTATGAAAAGATGCTTCTCCTGTAAGGAAGAAGCACATCCTTGATATATCCTTAGGAAGACATCAGAAACCTTAGAATGTATCACAAATGTGGTGGGCACTTATATTAAAGCTTTCCAGTCCTGGTTTTCCCCGCAATATTTATATGATCTTAGAAGGAAGTTATTCTTAGCCTAGTCTACCAGGGAGATCATGGTATCTGATAATTAAAAAAAAAAAAGCAAAAATCATAGTGTAACAGTGATCAGTAGTTAGAAAACAGATCAGTAATATTTAGATTAGACAATATTTAGATTAGCATATTAGATCAGTAATATTTAGATTAGACAATATTTAGATTAGACAGATCAGTAATATTAGATTAGAGCTCATGGAAAGGCATAAAGAAAATAGCAAATAGATTTCCTTTCCCCAAAGAGCCTATGGTCGAATGAAGAAGCATACATAACTACCCATGTTTGTCCGTGCAGAAGCATCTCACTGATGGGCTGGTGGCATTTGAGACTGAGACCCAGGCACAGAAACAGCTGGGTGACAGGATTGTCCTCAACATAAACTTGCTCATTTTCTGTCTAAGCATTTACTTATTGTGAGGCAGAGACAAGGTTACGTAGTTTAATCATATGATGAGTGTAATAAAATTAATGTACTAATTGATTTACTTGGCCTCCATTTTTTTGTTTCAACACATCCTACATTTGGTTTTAGCTAAAAATGAGGAGATAGTGTGTAGACTTTTCATTAGCAGTGTTTAATAATGTACCTGAAAGATGATTCTTTTTAGGTTAATTGGAGGAGAAATTGACACATCTCTCTGCTAATTTAGGGGTTTTAAGTGCAAGGCAGGAGAAAGCATTAATAGATTTATCCTTTTTAAGAATCACTATCAGATTATCTTCATTTTACTGTCATCTGAATATGTTAGTATGAGACAGAAAGAAGTGTCAGATTCTAAGAAATAATTTCTCATGGAAACTTCTAATACTTACAACCAAACCTCACCAGCATCCAAAAGCAAGAAGCCAATGTCTACCTGCATGCAGGGCTGTTGCCTGCTGTCTCTAATAAAGACTTCACTCCCACACAGTTCTGGCAAGCTCATAAACAAGGCCGACTCCAGTAGAAAGAAGGTACTAACCATCTAGTTTAGTTTAAGAAATTAGGAAGCCAACCCAAGGCAGAGTTTCATTCTGTCTTCAACAACTGTACTTACTGCTATGCAAGTGAATGGTCAAACAAGTTAATGACAGTTTGGATATCTGAGTGACCACTTATTTGCAAAGTGGCATGGTTTCATTTAAGGGATAAAGGAATTATTTCAAATCTATCTCTGCCAGGTGGGACCCGGCTCTTTAAAGTCTTTAATGCATTGCTATGCAATCTGTGGGGAGATCATAGGAATCATGTGCACCTAGACAGGTCAAATATGAATAAGACTCTGTAGATCCAAGGTTGGCCTGCCATATGCAATTTTACTTCAATTCTATTCATCAGCAAGTACAACTAATTCTGGTATTTCTGTACTAACTTACTAATACTCATTACTAATTAAAAATATAAACCTGGGCTCTTGATGTACCTTCTGAATCATTTACTCGGAAAATAGCCCAGATGTGTTGTCTTTGCTTTATATA